TCTCTCGCTTCACCCGCTGCATGTAGGCCTACTTGCAGTGGCGTGGCTTGAGTGGGCTTGCTCCATCACTGTGTTACCTGTGTTACTCTCTCTCTCTCTCTCTCTCTCTCTCTCTCTCTCTCTCTCTCTCTCTCTCTCTCTCTCTCTCTCTCTCTCTTTCTCTCTCTCTTTTTTTTTTTTACTTTGTTAACGAGCCTTTGTCCCTGCTATAACCGATTGGGCTCTGATGAGGCCATGTTATTGCCGATTACTTTTAATATAGACAAAGAGTCGGAAAAAACGGGGATTTAACGCATACCTGTTATTACCGGATCCCTGTTACTACCGGGCCTGTTATATATGGTTTCCACTGTATTTTGTTTTATTTGTGTTCCCCATCAGAGTGAAGGCCTACATGAAAAAAACTAGTCTATAGTCTGGATACTCTTTGATGTAATATTCCTTCAGAAGAATCCTCATTCATCCAAGTTGAATCCCCCACACAACAAGTGTGTTACCACGCTCACCCTTTTGAAAACATTTTTAGTGCAATAGATTAGTAGTTAGTTCACCAAATTTTGAAGGAATCTTGCAGAGATCGATTTCAAATGCAGACGATAGCTATCTTATGACAAGCCTCTTGTCCCCAAAAAATGGTGTTTATAAGATATTTTCACGTTTAAAAACCCCCCACAAATTAATACACTTTTAGATTATAATGCGTTTCAAAATTACTTTAAAAATTCGTTTTTGATACATGTATTATATTATTTATCGAAAATATAATCGTAAAATCATCTGAACCTTTTTCCCAGCTACCTGCCTGAGTCACCCAAGTTTGCAGTATATTTATTTGCTTGCGGGTCTAAAAGTTGAATAACAACAGAATCTAAAAAAGCCCGTGAACGAAGGTCGCTGCAAACTAAAGACAAAATCACAAATGAAGCTGTGATGCAAAAACGCAAAGTCAAAAGAGAAGTAGGCTACATGTACTACGGTACCAAAACTAAAATCAGTGAAACTAACATACTTCGGGCACACCAAGCGCCATGACTCACCATGTTCTAAGGACAATTCTGACCAGTCGAATGAAAGGGAAGAAAGCTTAATGTATCTAGAGGCAGACAGTCTGAGACAGTGAAAGTTATTGATTGATGATGTCTAAAAGCCGGGATGGGTAACAGCTGGGCAATGTGCATGCTCCGATCTCAAGACCGAACTAATAGTAGAGACTCATGTCGACCAGATTTGCTCTTGAAAAATTTTTCCATTTTCAGTCACGCTTCGGCGATCACGTCTGAACACTGAAAGAAAATTACCGTACGAAAGACAAGACTCAAGACGCTACGGTTGCTACGGCTAACGCTGCAACAGACTACATATTATGTACCAATTTCAGTGGTAAAAAATAGTAGGCTACATCTAGTATTAGTAGCATAACATAAATCTAGGATTAGAACAAAACACTATAGGTTTAAAAGGAAGTAGCTCTAACTCTATGGATTAGAATTAGAATACAATGTACATGTCGTAGAGATCTGGACTGCGAATGAAGTTCAGAACAAAGGGAAACAAATCTGGCAGACTTGCAAGGGCCTGGTGGGAAATTTGAGTTCGAGTACGGCTTAAACTCAAAAGAAGAAAAATACTTTGTTTTTTTGGGGTAAAATTTTCAGTCGTTTGCGGAAAGTTGTAAAATTCTCGGCCGCGAATAACCGCGATGACAGAATAATAATAATA